CATAGCCCTCTTCGTTTCTGAGATACAGGGTCTTTTCGAAAATTTTGCAATTTGGCCCCCGCTCCGTTATTGTAGATGATATCGAGAAGATGAAACCTGATTCTTGTACAACTTTTTCCATAGAATACAGTGGCGTAGTCGTTTTTCTATGAAAAAATACTTTTGAAAATATGAACTAAAGCTATTTTTTTCAAATAGAACACCCTGTATATTTACAAATCATATGATCCGTCTTGCTATGAGCTTCTCGAAAATATTCATCACTCTGTATTTATTTTCACTATTTACTGCAAGTAACAAAAAAATCAAAATGGTATTTACTAAAATAGTCACACATATTAAAATTTTATTTGGGATAGATATATTTTACTTTTGAATTGTTACCACTGAATCTCTGAATATATTTTCCTTTTTTTTATAACAGGATGCATTTGCAAATATCTAAAAGCTTGCATTAAAGCATTTTTCGACATTGTTGTAGTTGCCACCGATATATTTCATATTTCAGAAATCCTCAAAATCAGAAATCGAGAACGGACAAATCCGGGAATAAGGGAGGCCATCATATTAACCCATGGGTTCCAATTCATTGATTTTAGAAATAATAATTTAACAAAATTCTAATATTTTCAAAGTTGTGAAAGTATATTTAACATATGGAAGAGAGTTAAGTTTCCCTAATATATAAAGAATTTATTAGTGGCTCCCAAAATAAAACAAGAGACCGATAGCAGTATACTTTTAATAATTCTTTTCTTTGGTTTCTTTTTTATCAATCTTGGCCTACTAATAAATATGATCTTTTAATAAAAACTTCTAAATATTACAATAAATAATAGTGAAAATAAATATAGAGTGATATATATATATTTTTGAGAAGCTTATGGCAAGCCAGATCTTATAATTTATAAATATACAGGGTGTTCGATTTAAGAAAACATGACTTTAGTTCATATCTTTTAAAGTATTCTTTTCGTAGAATAACAGATTACGCCAATGTATTCTACGTAAAAAGTTCTACAATACACACTTTTCACCTTTTTGATACCTTTAAGCCCACGGCCACACAGAAAGCCTTTTTAGCGTTTTTTGCGTCTCAAGCGCTTTTTGCGATTTTACCATTTTAAGCGTTTTTTTCGATTTGTGTCCATTAAAAACACGCAAAAGACGCGGCAGGTCTGCAGTTTCTATCAAGATGTCAATTAGTAACGTCACAAGCTCGTGGATTCCCGGCCCGTCCAACAATCAATCCTGTGAGAAAGAGATAGGCGAGATCGGCGCGGTTAGCGTTGAAGAGACGAAGATAAAAGATGCTGAAATTGAATTGTGGACGGGCCGGGGCATATATTCGGCGACAAACACAATCTACTGCTAGTGCCAGTGGTGTGTGTGAAAGTCATAATTATTATTTGCCATTTATTTTACGAATTTTAATTTATATGTGTATAGTTTTTTTATGTTGTAGTGTTGTGATTAGTACTTGTTATAATTATAATATAATATAATTAATAATTATTATATAATAGAATAATAAATATTTCTAGTTGCTAATGTAATTTTAGGACATGATTTATGAAACATTTTGGAGTGAAACTTCTATACGCGCGCTGGGAGTAAAAATTGAAGGCCGTGACATACGACCTAATGAGACGGCCCTGACACACGAACTCGTTGTAACGAAACGTGTTAACGGCTTAGAAATACGTAGTGACACGACGTGTATTTGTGAGCAGTCCACCTGTTTATCAAAAATATTGATATTTTAATACAAATTTTGTAAAAGGGAATCAAATTTTTACGTGTAAAAAAAATATTTCTTACACGTAAAAACTATTTTTATTGTTTTACGCGAATAAAACTGTTACACGTAAAAAACTACTGTTTACGCGTATAAAACTATTTGTTACTGGCAGAAAACTATTTTTTACGCGTATAAAACTATTTTTTAGGTGTAAAAAAACTATTTGTTACACGTAAAGAACTATTTTTTTACGCGTCAAAAACTTATTGTTTTTAGTAAAAAACCTTTTGTTACGCAAAAGAAAATATTTTTTACGTGTAAAGAACTATTTGTTACACGTAAAAAATTATTTTTTTCCGCATCAAAAACTTATTGTTTCTAGTAAAAAACCTTTTGTTACACAAAAAATATTTGTTACGTGTAAAGATCTATTTGTTACACGTAAAAAAAAATTTTTTTACGCCTCAAAAACTTATTGTTTCTGGTAGAGAACCTTTCTTACACAAAAATATATTTTTTGCGTGTAAAAACTATTTGTTGCACGTAAAAAACTATTTTTACGCGTCAAAAATATTTGTTCCTGTTAAAAAAAACTTTTTACGCCGAAAAAACACTTTTACGCATAAAAACTATTTTTACGCGTAAGAAAATATTCCTTTAATTTATTACTTTTCAACATTTCAAACTACACTTTTTCAAACATTTCCTTCAAATTTTTGAATTTAATAGAATCTACCTAAACAATAGATGTTCTTTATAAACATATTTTTAGATAATACTAGTTAAATATTACTTTATTTAATTTATTTTTATTGTATTATTAAATATAACGTCCGCTTATGACGGCGTCTCATCTTAGAAAACGCTAAAGACGCTACAGAAAACAAACTGATTTGTTTTTATTTGCGTTATTTGCGTTTTTGCGACACGCCGAACGCTACACGCTTTTGGTGTGGCTACCCCTATATAATCCTGTTATGTTGTTTTAGTCGCTAAAGACGCATCACGCTAAAAACGCAAAACACACTTTCTGTGTGACCGTGGGCTAACAATAACAGAAATACAGGAGTGTCTCATATTTTAAATGTGTCTGAGATCAGTTTATATTGTAGTAGGTGTGTTTTGGAATTATTAAACGAGTGTGTTCAGATTTTTTATCATGATGTCATCAAAACCACAAAATCAAGATTTCTCCAGACAGTTTTGTGATTACGGGCGGCTATATTGACACGTACAGACAAAGATCAAAACAAACCAACGAAAAAGTAGTAAAGATACATATTATTCTGTGCTGCTTGATGAATGAAGAATCCCTTGAATTAGTTGCTATATTTTCATTTTATAAGTTGAATCACATTTTACGTACAAAAAGAGTTCTGGGTGTGTGCAAGGTCAGACACAAGGTCAGTTTATTTTATTGCGTTTCATCCTTGGAGACGCGTTAGAAACAAATCCCTATATAGTTCATGATCGCTTTAAATCCGTAACCGTCATCGATATCGTCAAGGAAGTGGAGGCACAAGTTGTGTAATGTAATTCGCGCGTTCCAGTATTGTTTGGACGGTCCTCGTACATTTTGTTATGGGTTATTATAGTGAACTCGCCTGGTTTTATATCCATCCAAGTTATGAGTATAAATCGACAAAATCAATAGCGAAAATTTAATATTACTGGTTTCAGTGATTTAATTAACCTTATTTTCGTTAACTAATGTGTAAGTTGTCTCAGTATTTTCGTTTCATTGGAATACTATATACAGGGTGAGTTTTCTACGATGTTCTCTATGGATATCTCGGAAACTACTGGAGATGGGGAGTCGGTTAAATGAGGAAAGAATTGCAGTTTTGTGGGGTCATAAATATGCGCCTTTCAGATTTTTGTAAAAGTTCATGACTTACTAGATATTTCGAGAAAAAGCAAATATCGGTTATTTTAAAAATTGTCCCTAATTCCATTGTAATATATTTTAGACAACAAGTTTTCAGATAAAAGTTGTAGATAATCACATCCTTAATGAGATTGTGTTCTTCGTTTTTTCTAAAGCTTGTCATTTTTGACATATGGGAACCATAGTTGGCCATGACTTCATAAAAAGCGCCATTTTTTAATCTTTTCGGCGATATAAATCTCACTCAGTTGGTGTGATATTCTTATTTTGTTATGATTTATAACTTATAAAAAGATAGAATATTTCATTAAACGATTCTTTACCATTTTACATTACACAAACAAAAACTTAAAATAATATCACTAAATACACTAGTTATTTTAGAAAATGTTCAAAAAATCCGCCATTGTTTTTGAGTACATAAATGAATGTTTTTAAAACTGAAATTTTCTCACAGAACGACGGGTCAACTTTATTAAACTTTTCCCGTACCGCCTCTTCAAGTGCCTCTCTTAATTAAGTTCTTTTATAAACCTTGTTGTTAACCATACCGATCAAACCGTCAGGTAATCGAGGAGGCCATACAATTGGTCCACCTCTTCCTATACCTGAGTTTGCATAATTATGATATAAATAATTTTTAACATTCCTTTCACTATGGGGGGAGTGTCATAATGAAAGTCATCTTGGAACTACTCTATTGATGGGCGAGTCTCTAAATTTAACTTTTCTAACATGCCTTGAAAACCGTTTTCTAAAAAGCATAAGTAACGTTCACCGGTCAACGTATCCTCGAAAATGTATGGCCAAGAAAAGTTGAACCTACACGTTTTTCTTCATTTGAAAAATCCATATTTACAATTTTTGTTTATTTTAATTTACAATAAAGTTTGGATGTGACAGTGTTACATTTCTGAGAGCAACGACGATAGAACTTGTTTCCATGGCTAACTAAGTGAAATTGTTTAAAAATGATTAAAATTGGTTATAAGTAATTTTTCGAAAAAAATCATAGCTTATATCGCTGAAAATCTTAAAAAATGGCGCTTTTTATGAAGTCATGGCCAACTATGGTTTCCATTTAAAAAAAACATATGTTAGTGTTATATGTCAAAAATGATAGGTTTTGGAAAAAAACGGAGAACACAATCTCATTAAGGATGTGATTATCTACAACTTTTATCTGGAACTTTTTGTCTATAAAATAGGTTATAATGGATTTAGAGACAATTTTTAAAATGTTTTTTTTCGAAATATCTAGTAAGCCATGAACTTTCTCAAAAATCTGAAAGGCGCATATTTATGATCCCACAAAACTACAATTCTTTCCCCATTTAACCGACTCCCTATCTCCAGTAGTTTCCGAGATGCCCATAGAGAACATCACCGTAAAAAACTCACTCTGTAGAAATAAAAATTTGGAAATTGTAGAGTACTAAACATTCTTAAAAATCTTTAATTGTGTGATACCATCGGTTCCATTCAATAAATTTTCATTATTGTGATATATTGCTTATACGCTCCCCTATCTTTTGAAAAAATACAGCTGTGCACTGAGACAAAAAAAACCCAACTGCGCACTAAGATATATCAATTTTGTGTTATTTTACCTGGATGGCATATCAAAACTAGGCGAACGCACATTTTCCCAATAACAAAATTTAACAAGATTATTTCTCAAGTGTTTCACTTAAAAATACACTTCGGTGCCGCGTTCAACGCCCGAAAGCTGGATAAGAATATTTTAGACAAAAACCAGGAAATATCCAGGTACTGCTTCTTCGAGGAGGTTGAGTTACTGGTTGAGGTTGTCCTCTTGCCGGATGTCCGACTTGAGTTTGACGAACTCCTTTGCCACCTCGTCGTTTGTGCGTTGGGAAAGGATCCTGAGGATGGTCCAGCCCGTTTCGTCCATCTGGATGCGCTTGCCCAGCGACAGCCAGCAGGCACAAGAACCCTGGAAATATTTTCAAGTTTAACTGGATATCTAATCTCATAGGAATAAAGAGTTATTCAACTTGAATACTATATATAATATTTTATATTAAAAACAAATGTTGAAGACTGAAGAGAAGATTTGTGCCAGATTATGGCGCCCAACGTGGGGCGCAGTAGTGTAACTTGGATTTTGTTTACTCAAATTTTTAGTTCTCAACCGCAAGAATGGTTAGCGAAAGAGATGACCCTCTGAGATGGCAAATCTCAGAGTTCTAATTCTACAGTTAGGCAAATGGTGACAAATGCGTTAGTAGTATTTGAAATAAAGCAAAAATATTAACAAAATATCATATAAAGTGTTTAATTTTTTAATGTAAAATTGAGTTGAATAACCTTTTTATCTCTATGACACTGAATTACAGCGTTCGGAAATATATTTGATGGAAACGTTTTTTTAATGAATAAATAATTAAATCAAATTATATACTTTGTCTACAATGTCTTTCAGTTGCATAACTGCTACTCCAACCAGTCTATCTTCTCTTGCAAAACAATAGTCTTTGACGCAAATGTGCAGCTCGTAGAAGTCTAGCTGTTCCTCATTTCCAATAATGCTATAAAAATGATGAATCAATCAGATATGTAATAATATAATGAGTGCATAGTAAGATTACAATGTATGTAAATATCTATAGGTGTATTTATTTTATGCTAGTGTATTTTGAGATTTTTGCTCTGCAAAGTTCAACAAAAACTAACAATTTCTCATTGCCAATAAGTTTAAACAAAAATAATGAGCAGTGTTTGTATTACTCCTACTGACTTTAGCTACTTGTAATTCTTTACCCTATATTAACCAACTAGAGCTAAAAAATAGAATCTATTTTACTTACAAATTGAATGTTTCATTATACTTCGGCGACCAGTTATTCGACTTGGACTTCGTGGCGTGTTTTCTCTTCTTATCGGACAGATGGGGTCCGATCAGATTAACTTCCACGAAGGGTCTAAACATTCCAGACACTAGGTTCCATTTGAGGTCATTGGCAGCAACAACTATATCAAAAATTTTAATATTACCTGGTCATACTTTCCTTATCATTTTTTTTAAACTTATAATACCACAGCTAATTGTTTAAACAGCCAGTTAACTTTTTCAGCTAGTGTTTGAGTACACATGCAGACAGTCAGAGTACCAGTCTCGATAGTTTTTCTAAAGAAGCTTAGAACCCGACTTGATACATAAGATAAACGAATATCTAGGTAGAGTACGCAAAGGAGGATGCGATGCAGAATAAACCAATCTTATTTAAGCCAGTGGCCTAGAAAAACTAATTGTGGAGGAAAGCGTAACCGGGAATCGTCCTAGAGGGAGATCTTCAAATCTTTGGGTGACCAAATGAAGAGAATATTAGGTCATAGTCTGCAGGAGGTCAGTATCTACTACTGCGCAGGATAAAACATGGAGAGACACAGTAAATGCGATTGATTCATGATTTCACTATACTCTCATAGAGTACTAGGAAGGAAGTGGAGGATGCAGAGTTTCATGTAAATGATTATTATAAGTTGACTGGCTGTCTAATGATTAGGCTGTGATAATACCTTTGACTGTGACTTTGTGCTCTCCTGTGCCTGGATGAGTGAACAGGTCAACTTGTATCGACACTTCACCCACACTGCCTTCTTGACCGTCTACTGAATCTGAAAAACGGGTTCAAATATGAAAATATGTGATATAAAAATATATTTTATTTTTTTATAAAAAATTAAAAAGTAATAGTAAGCTAAAATTTGGTACTATCAACAAATGTATAGGAAAATTATTCTGAGTGCTTTAAATATTGAAAAAACATCATATAACACCGTTTAAAATTTTCAAATACATTATTGTATAAATTATTTAAGAAAATCGCAAGCTATATAGGGTGTCCCAAACTTAGTAAAACCAATTTGAACAGCATATTAAGCTACACGTATACTACTGACTTAACATAAGTATTTCATATTGTGACATGTTTTTATTCCTTTTTGGGACATCCTATATACAGGGTGAGTCTTAAATAAGTGCAAATATTTTCAGGGCTGGTAGATCTCGATAAAAGAAACAAATTTTCTCTTTGCTGTTTTTTAAATAAGCCCAAAATAACAGAGTTATTTTACTTTGAAAATTTAAGACAAAAATAATTTTTTGGTTAAATTTTGAGAACCGCTGTATATTTTCTTTGTTTTCTTTCTTGTAAATTTAATCTACCACCTATGTTGTCATATTATGAAGATATTTATTATATGTTTTTAATTTAAAATAAAAAAAAAATCATTTTTAATAATGTAAATAATTAATGTAAAAATAATGTAAAATCTAAAAATATTTGCGCTTATTTAAGACTCACCCTGTACAGTAAGAGGTAAAACTTGATCAACTTAGATTTAAGAACTGAATTATTCTTATTACTATGCACTTTTTTATTTACTAGAATTAAAAAAAAGATTTAATACATATTTTAGATAGCTAACGATATTTTTAATATTTGTTTTTTATCGTTAAGTATTACTTAGTTACTTTCATAAATATATCTGTCAATCTGTTTGAAAATTTATCATAATATAAATTTAATTTTCTGTTGGTAGATTTTTTATGGAAACATTTAAGCTATTTGTGGAAATAATTATTCAAGTTGTTCAAATTTCGCTCGTGTACTGTAAAATGTGTAAGTTAGCATTTATTGCGAATTATAATAAACCAGCTGCAAAATATTCGATTGACCAGAAAGTGTGTCTTATCAATCGATCGACGAACTATATGGAAAAAAAGTTAGCATGCTAAAAAGAAGCCATCGACCCCTTCAGGTTTACGTGACGCCGATTCTGTGTTGATTCTAATAAAACTAAGCATGATCTATCGTTAGTTCCTAGGATCAGATTTATGGCAATGAACGATTTGTGTGAAGCAAATATCAAATATATATTATATTATAAAAAAATTATATTTTATTTTTATAAGCGATCTATAATATATCAGATTTGTATAGTCTGTCCATCAAGTTAGAGAAGATTTTGACAGACGACGTCTAAAAATGACAGAAAATACTGTGAATCAAAATGACAGACCAACTGTCACTGTCATGAATCCCCTCGTTAGATAGACTATACCCAGCCTTTCCAACGAGTCACGGAAGATTTCGACAAATGACATGTAAAAATTGACAAAACATACAATTTGCCTGTGAACTAAAATGACAGACACAGCTGTCACTGTCATGGATCCTCCCGTTCGACAGACTATACGTTGTAAAATATAAATGGAATCTTCCATTACCATGCTCTCTATTATAACGCTAATTATAATTTCATAATACTATGAAAAATATGATGCTTTAATTTCTAAGTTTTAAAAATTACAGCATTTACCCTATGATCGAAAAAAATGACGTCAGAGTAGTCTTTGAAATGGCAGTCGATAATAATTACTCTCAGACCGATACCTATATGTCCTTTATTAAAAATGGGTATAAAGATTTGTCAAAAGTTAATATATAATTAAATCATAATTAAAAAGTTTCCAGATTTTTCGAAAAATAAGTTTTACTGTATAGATTTGCTGGTGAATGTCTAGAAACTTTATTTTTTATTTAAATATTTGTTTTTGAAATATTTTTATTTCAATTTTTGAGATATGACATGATAGAGACCAGCTCGATAGAAACAACCATCAATTGTCTATTTTAATGCCACTTTAAAGCATTTTTTTCGATTGTATGGTATACGATTTTCAAAAAAACTAAACGACTAAAAGTATAATAAACTAGAATCAATCAACTGTCGGAATGTGACGGCTACGATGTTAAATGTCATTCGATAATCGCTGTGGAAGTGCTGCAAATGCCCAGAGGATCGTGATCGATGAGGACCAATATACACCTTGAAATAAATGGAAGTATATTTATAGAAAAAAGTAATATTTTTTTTAAAGAAACATATATACTTTCGTTTATTTCAAATCGGTTTAAATCTAGCCCAAAACTACAGTTATTAACCACGCCTCTGGGCCTCTATTTAAAGTACGTATGGAATGCATTGAACTAGCAACCTGGCCATTTGTCCTTGGGCTTCTTGGCCTTGAGCGGTTCCTCCAAGGCCTCCAGGCCGGCTTCAGGCTCTTCCCGATCGAACGAAATCTGCCGCTGGAGCATCGTCTCTTTAGTGTTAAGGGGCACTTGAGGGTGAAAGCACAAACACAGAGGTGTAGAGTATTTTTTAATGTATTGGGTAGGGGTGTGTTTTCAGACGCGGCCAGTATATAAACAGAAATGTTGTTAGACATTGATTATATTATTAGAGTTTGATTAATAAGGTAATCGCAAAACAATTTCCGATGCACGTGATGAACTTTGAGCGACAAGCGATGGTGACAGCGCTGATTGATATGAATTTTAATGTAAAATTGAGAAACAATATATTTATTATATTATTTTTTAAAGATTTTTACGTTTTATTTTTAATTTAATAATTAATATTTTAGTAATTAATTTATTTATTAACAGTAGTCACGCAGTAAAAAATGAAAATTGTTCCGTAAAGGAAACAAAAATTAATAAATCAAATTATCGTGTAATTCTACCGTATGATCGAGAAAAAACGGCGTCAACGATGGCTATGAAATGAAGATCGCTGTCATTTTATATGTAAACTTATATGGGAAATGTCATCGATCGTCATTTCCCAGGCAACTGGACGCCGGTTTTTTTCGATCATACGGTATATCCGCTCAACATATAAGTTTTTAATTTTGTTTTGAAAGTGAACGTCTTTAAATCAAGGGAGTATAGATTCAAGTTGGAATTGTACATCTTGGATGCCAGGTAGGAGAACGAACGCTGATGCGATGTTTGGGAATTTCCATATTAAATATGACAACCTTGCTGATTATAAACGACAACCTTGCTGATCGCAGCGCAATGTGACCAACACGGCGATAATAAAAATCGCTTTAAACCAATTTTTGCAGCTTTAATCTAAAGAAAATACCCGTTTTAATCATTTGCTCTATGAAGTAAAATGAACAGCTGCACAGTATCTTAAATTATACAACAAATTTAAACATTCTTGCCAAAATTTAATTTTGTCAGGTTTATAGGCTTTAGTGTCAATTTCGGTAAGATTGATGACGTGCATCGGAAAATGTTTTGCGATTACCATATTCAAAGATCACCAACAAAAATTATATTGATGGTGTTTGTTATTAATAATATATAAATAATAAAAAAATACAAAAATTAATAATTTGGAATATTATTAAAAACAATATACAAAGTGTTTCAAACAGCATAAATAATAAATTAATTAATTTCAAAAAAAGACAGTTATGACAAAAGAATAGCTTACTGGCCGCATTTGGTGGTGTGTATAAGAATTGATCGTTTTATCTTGTAAACCACTATTATATCTACATGGTTTCTCACCTTCATTGATCTGCGTGGTCACGAAGGTCTTGATTAAGGTATCTGTAGTTTGCGTGTACAGCGACAGCGCGTACCTGAGACTCTGGAGTTCGGGACTCTTGTCCAGGAAGGCTTTTTTCAGTCCGTTGCCTCCTGCAAGTAAACAATGAAAATGTAAGTCATTTTAATAAACCATTCCTGATAATAACTCAGGTAGTACCGAAATATGATAATGATGATTTACATTTAAGTAACTTCTGATAAATCAAAGCCAAGCAGCAAGAGACGTGGCAACACCGTGAGGACTGCGCTACACCTCGAAGACTATGGCCAGTGGTAGATAGCAAAAAGACAAAACAACTACTAGAGCACAAAAAGGACCTAGGGTATCCCACGGGGGTAAACCTCGTGAGATAGAAAGTTTCCGACTACGACTACTGCAGAGAATGCGGAGAGGAAGAAGAAACCATAGATCACCTGCTGTGCCACTGTCCGGCACTGGAATACCGACGCTTTAAAACTTTAAGGTAAGGTTTTTTGGAGGGACTAGAGGAAGCAGCAGGAAGCCAACATCAGTGACCGACATCGGGAACTTGCAAAGAGCTGAAAATGCTTTAACGCAAAGAAAGAATGAGGAGGAAGGTTTGGTACAACAATAACAGGGGTATCGCAATGGGCCCAAGGCCTCCGAGTGGGGGATCAAACATGACCCCAAACCCCAGCAACCTAACCTAACTTCTGATAAAATACAAAATCTTACCTGCATGGAAGTACTGTTTGATAGTGTCCAGAGCAACTTCTAACACCGCGCACTGTTTCGGTGATAAATTCTTTTCCACCTCTTTACTTATGTCCATCACACCACTAAGAGCATTCTTCACATCTTGTTTGCCCGTCATGTGGTTCTTGAACAACCGTGACATGTCTTCGATCTTCGTGTTAGCAGCCAAGTTTTTGGCGTTATCCGTAATACTCTTGAACACCATCTAAAAAGAAGCAATTATTTTTTGGGGGAGTTGTCGATTTTATTAAATAATAATATTAATAATAAATCTTCTCTGGAATACTTCTTTTTAAGTAATATTAAATATTTAACAATTATAAAAATAATTATATGAATTGCTTCTATGACGCTACATTACCGTTTTATCAGTCATTGGAGGTAAAACCACAGTCTTCTCCAGGATTCTCATCACAATTCTCCACAATTCCTTCAGTAAACGTTTGAGGACAGTCTTTTCGCACGACTGCGCATAAAGTGATAAAGAGCCATCTAAAAGATCCATCAGAGGGCGCAGTACTTCGTCCGCTTCTACGGCTACTTGCTGACGTTGAGCAGGTTGATTCAACGTTCCAGGTTGACCTCCACCTTTGATGGCAACCAGTAAATCGCCTAGTTCTTTCACGCTCTGAGTTATCCTTGGTTCCAAACTATTGAAACAATATTTTTATTTCGTATTTTCCTTTGTATATCGTTCCTTACATTAGCATTTTAAGGTAATAAATAGTTACATTATAAATCCAGTAAATCAACTTTTACAGTACGAGTGAGATGTTTATTATATAGGGTGGGGAATTATATTATGGAGATATTCTAATTTTTTTTAATTACTCTGTAGACTCTGTAGACTTAAAAAAAAATAAAAAGTGTGATACACGTTTTCTTCTCTTATGTTTAAAGAAAAATCGATATAAGAGGATTAATGCTCACCTAGACGCGAATTGATGGGCCAATTCATCCAAACAACCATTCAAAGTTTGCTGCAATTCCTTTAAGATGTTAGCAGCATCTTCTTCTAGTTTCTCACCTCCCATGGACTCGAACATCTTCTCCAACTGTACCCTGAGTTGTTGAATGTTATTCATTAAAATACATGCCTGCAAATGTTTGATAACATTATGTGGATAATTTTGAAATTGACGCTCTTACTATTCTTTCTTCTTTGAGATGTTCTGGAAATTCTCGTTTCACTATATCCGCGTACGCAATCAAAACTTTGACTATAGTTTTGGCAAAGCGTTTCATGTATCTTTTCCAAATTTCTGGATCGGGACATTCCAGTTTGGATACCACGTCGAAGCATTGGGTCAGTTGGGTAAAAACGTCCACTACAGAGTTGGAGAATAAGGCATGTTCACTACTCTTTTGGAACTGTAAAAAAGTATTTTTGTTAGAATTTTACCATTTGCTAGTGTTAGTTTATTAATTTTTATATGATTTATATATACAGTCTGTACCAATTGAACTTTTAGTTACGTAATCGAGGGCGCGATTTTTAAATTCATTGTTGCCAATCATGGACATATTATATTCGGCGCCTGACTACCTGAAATTTAAATTTCGCGCTGGAGATTCAGGTGGTAGCTCTGCTGTAAAAAACGTCAAGTTGCCGCATTTATTTATTTATTTCCTGACATTGTCATTCGTTTTGACACTTCAGTTTTGTATTACGAGTTTTTGGTTTAAATAAATAGTGTTGTGATACTTTAAGCTTACTGTTTACTAGCAGACCTTGCAGTCGAACCCTTTTTAGAACCTCTTTTAATGCGAAGTGTACAAGATAGCTTAATAGCCGTAAAAAACTTATCGCAACTTTATTAGAATATTTTGAGCGGGAAAGCGATAGAAATGTCCCTTAAGGGCTGTTAAGGTGAGTTTTGCTGATGCAAATAATAACTGTTTATATATTTATAAATAATTTATTTTTGTTACCTAAAATATTTTGATTAAAAGAAAATATATAAAAGTGGGCAACGCTGTGCCGGTCAAGCTTAATCACGTAACCAAAAGTTTATTTGATATGAACTATAGAGAGATAGTTTTAACTACATAACCTTATATTCAATCACAAGACTGATTTAAAAGAATATACAAAACATAGATATTAATCTAACGGTAAAATAGAAACTTTCCCAATACGTACCCCATCTTTTTTGTCCCTGGTAAAGGCACCGTTGAGGTACTCCAACGACACGTCATCGTTCTCGTTCAGCCACTGCATGACGAAGGGCTCGAACCAGGCCGGGTACTCCGGTACTTCGCCCTTGTACGGAGGCACATCTTTGACGTAGTTCGAGTACAGCCACTTGACCTTGAAGTGGAGGTTCATGTAAGCTGAGGACTTGCAGAGTCTGTGGGCTTCGTGTTCCTCTAAGGCATATTTCATATCGACTGCGAATTGGGACCACATAGTGGCTGCGGACAGCTGTAAAAAATAACGTTTATTTAGAAGCATGTAAATTATTTTTAATGCAAAATTGTTATAATATTTTCATAATATACTCTATTTTTTTGCTCAGATAAGACATAAGAAAAGCAGATGACGTTCATACCAATCTATTTATTTTACTAAAAAAAGTTTCTAATATATTTTTTAAGTTAACTATGGATGGGTTTAAATATAAATCCGTCATACGTCGTCTCTTGTTATTTTTAACCAGTGTTATTGGTTTATTTTAAAAATGACAGATCATATTTCAATTTTATTGGTTTGACGGAACGATGAACAACAAACGGACGCCGAGCCGATGCGTATGAACTCGCCTTTAGATTTTTGAGGCTTGTCAAAGTCCTGCCAAATTATAGGTTATTATTTTGTGTCAACTTATGTCAAATACCCTGCGTTTTAGAAGATGATGCATTTTGATTCGTATTATTACGTGTGTTTTGTGTCTTTTGAAGTCAAGTGGAGAAAAAATAGAGGGAAAATTAACTGTAGACCCAGAGCACAGTTTATAGTTAATACTCGGTGCCCATGCAGAAAGTCTTATACACCAATAAAGTTACCATGAATAGAGTTTGTATACCATCGTACTAAACATATACTAAAAACTGGAGTAGCTGTAAAATATCGACATCACACGATAGGTAAATAATGGATTTTAGTACTGCTGCAGAAAAATAATGTCAAATAAAAAAATTAAGATTAAAGTTAATCAACCATTAAGGTATAAAATTTGGTAAGTGATATTATTAATAAAATAGTTTGTTTTATTTATGTTGTTTTATTTATTCCTGTGGAATATTACAAATTTGTATTTGTACATAAGTTATATTGATAAATATAATAATAAATCCCGGAAGTTTCTTGAAGCTTGAAAGTAAGAAATAGTTCTTTTTTATATTTTTTTGGTATGTGGTGTTGTGTTCTTGTTTGTTTTGAATTAACACATACCGTTTTTTTAAATAAAATAACTCGATTACATTTTTTCAGTTTTATACAGTTATTTTTCACAATATTTTGAAGTAATCACTTGTCATTCAAATTTTAAATATATTAATTTCCTGCTATGCGTTCCAATTGAACCAACTTATTTTTTTTGCAAAATAAATAAACTATTTTGAAATTAAAATGACAGACACATCTATCACTGTCAAGGATCTTGTCGCTGGACAGACTAGCAATAGACTATATCTAGAAGTAGACGAAAAACACAAAATATAATTAATATAATATCTCTATTACTTGTCCTATATTGAGTTCTTGTGGAAACTGGTTTAGAACAGGCCCGTAACTGTTCTTGTCTTCTTCTATAACAGAAACAATCAACGCTATGAGTTTGTGCCAGAAATCCACGCTATCCAGCCGAGGTCCATGATCTTCTGGATCTCTTTTGGGTTCATTCGGATCAGCCTGGAATTCTCTATTATACAGCTCGTAAGTGTTCTCAAAAAGGAACTGATATGTAGATCTGGAAGCAATAGAAAAAGTGTTAGTTTAATTTTTAATCAAGATCATAACAAAAAAACAACCTTAAACAAGCTTTAACACAGTCTTTCACTACTGTACTAGCTCTGGGTGGACTGGATAATTCTTGAACCTTCATCCTGAAGAAAGTGATGCTAGTTAACAAGTCAACTGTTGATTTAAGGTCCATAAGCTTGTCTGGACTGGAAGCCGGGAAGTTATTTCGGTACATTGATAGATCGATTCTTAATGAGTTGTGCAATTGGTCCAACAACTTAACGAACTTCTCTTTCTGTAATGTTTAGAACATTTCTATTACTAGTAGTGTATAACGAAATAACTGAAGTAGATTTTACCCCAAAATTGGAGGCTGCAAATCTGTCACTGGCGGAGACAGCTGTCGAGGCTGTGGTGTGTGCGTAGTAAGCGTTGATGTTGGCTAGGAGCATGCTCATCACGGCCGGTACTCCAGGACAAAGGTACTTCGTGGACAAACAATGGAAATGCCTGCGGAAATATAACTTTAGAATATACTTCAAATTTTCCTCTACAGTGTTGTAGCTGTACAAATGATAACAGAAAAAAAGCAGTTAATCGACTGGTCGCTAAATCGACCACTTTAATTTAACCGACTAATCAGTCGCGTGGAAGTGTATTATCGCCCAGTTTGTTTGCTATGCTTATTTCTATCCGCGCCTTGGTCATTTAATCAACCATATCTATACGTTGGCCGAATTGGCGCAAAACGTTAACGTAAGCGGTTGAATATTCGACCAGTGAGCATTGGTGACACTGAGTTCGCTGTGTATCATATAGGTAATAATTGTCGTATAAGCATTTTCTATGCAAATTTCGTGTAATAAAAATTTAAAAATATAGAAACAAATTTATCTGTGACGTTTATTTCTTTTTATTTAGTGCCCCAAATTTACGGCTCGGATGATATTTTCTAAAGTCGTTAATATATCCTGTATATTTTCGATCATTTTTCGTAGTATGCGAGTTTCTAGAAAAACAGAATTTGATTTACTTGATATGGTCATATTTTTGAGTATAGAGCTAAAAGAGATAATCAAAATGAACTTACTCTTTTTTCTTACATTGGATAATACATACAGTTTATACATTATAAACATTAGATCATCACAAATTATTTATTTTCTTTAACAGTCTCTGGTTGAAAAATCGACCATCACCCCCTCCCTTATTTGTTAACATTTTGAAAAATGTTATTAAGAAGATATGCTTCCTTTGTGCTAGTTTATATATTTTTGAAGTTAATTTGATCAAACTACAAAATAATAGTAATACATACCAATCCATCTTTTTTCACTAAAAAAGGTTCTATGTTTTAACATATTTCTGTATGAATCAAAATAAACTACTTTAATGTGAATGAACTAAAATGACAGATACATCTATCACTGTCAAGGATTTTTTCATTGGACAGACTAAAGAGAAAACAAGGTAGCAATAATTGTTGATTTGAAGTTTGACTTTATATAATGTCATTTTAATAAAACGTCAACGGTTTATAAAATATATATCTGCTAAAAAATCTAAAGTGTTCTTGAATAGTTTGTATTTGGTATTTTAAATAGTTTTTCTTTGTTATTTGTGTATTTGCATCTAACATCAGAAGGGGGATATACCTCCTGAAAAGTTAAGTATTTTTTGTCGGTTAAACAAGTTTGTTTAATAGTAAAAGACCACTAATAAATTGGTCCCCGTTGAATCAACGCAGTGGTATTTACAAAAAATTATATTTTTTTAGATTTTCTCCTAGTGGAAAAAATCCAGAATTCTTTTCCAGAACCTATAAACGGTTTTCGACTATAATAAGCTACTCCAACTTACGTCATAGCTTGGTAAATAAACTCTATGCCATATCGCATAGCGAATTCATCTACTATCTCTTCGGGTGCTTCGTCGAAGTACACCTTCCAAGCATCGTCTCCTTTCGCCAGAGGCAACGTCACTATACCGTTGTTCTGTTCACACAACGAATGGAAGAGGTTCTCGTGCAGGCACGTGTACTGCACGTGGTAAGGTGCCACCTTCTCTTCACCTTTGATCTCCACCGAGATGTGCAGCCGAATGGCGCCGGAAACTGCCGATTTGTCCGTTCGTTTTTCCAGGTTGTACCAGACGTCCATCTCGCCGGACAACGTGCGTACTTCTATGATTGTTTGTCCGAGGAAATCGTCAGATTCCCTGGTCAGTTTTTGTCTGAGTTTGCTTTTTAAGTCGTTGTCTTCGTCCCAAACTCGTACTTTTATCCTGTCTGAACTGTTGTGGCATTCACTGAAAAATATTAGATAGATCTTAATACTGAAACTAAATAACTTACTGCTAAATTCTTATGAGAAAATTGAATAACTCTTTAAGTAACCATAGTAGTTAAAAATAACACAATCACAGTTACATTTAAGAATTTTTTGTCAGACAGATAATATATAATTTTTAATATACCGTGCTGGCAACTGTTACTTTGGGTGGGTATTTACATGCGTGGAAGTAAATCGCATAGGGATCTTATTAAGTAGGAGAGAGAGAAATGCGACGGTGTGCTGTTGCGACGTTGCCATATTTCTCCGTTACGCCTTTCTCTATCAAGTAAAGTAAAATCACGATCGCAAACCGTTTATTTTTAAAAGACTTTTTCTTCGAAAAGATTACTAGATAAAATCATTAGATATGTTTCTGATCATCTAAAATGGAATTATAAGGATATAGTTAGGATATCCATTTTTTATAACGAGAAAACGTCAGTAATCTCGATAATTTTAAAACTTTCTAACACATAACACGCGATTGTTTTATTTTGAAGTTCGGATCATTTACAAGATGTTTAAATAAGAAAAATTCGATAAGGTTGTTTTTTAATTATTAATTTTAAACGACCCATCCATTTACTTTTAGAGCATAGCAATTTTCCGCAATCGTGTAGTTTTTTTATTTATAAAGATTTTCACATACTGTCTGTGAAGAAAGTATAGCAGAAATATTAAGAAAGTTTTTGAAAAAACTACAATCAATTATTTGTAATAGATTTTGAGATATCGATTTTTGAATTCAGAGTTATAATAGCGCGACCACTGTCGAACACCAACTCAATTCCACTTATTTTTACCAAAAGTGCTAGTGTTTTTAACTTGCACTTAAAAATTTCCAAAGCTATAGGGAAAAATAAAGTATCACGAGACGTAATGAAATCGTGAAGCTGAACGCATGATGTACACCTCTCCCTGGAACTTTAAGTACTGACAGAGGTACTGATTGGGTTCACCGGTCCACTGCGACAAATCTGCTATATCCCCTTCCACGTCTCTTAGCAATGTGCACAGTTTCTCGGTTTATTTAATACGTTTGGCAACGTGTTTACTGTTCCCTCTTTATTCAGTACATTATAAACGCATTGTACTCTTCTTAGATACGGAAACCTCGACCCAAGACTAACCTTTGCCAGCCTTTAGTATATGTTTAATGGATATTAAGTTGTGAAACATAGATACAATATAATTTTACCAATATTTTATTGACGCAAAATAAATAATATTGATAAAATATCTCATAATAGATCTTTCTTCGGCGTTACACTAGCAAAGTTTCAGTAATATTGTGACATGCTTTTTTATAAGCTTGTGAAAAGGTTTCAAATAACATCGTATCCTTGCACATATCTTCCTGCAATGAAAAAAGCAATATTGCATCTTGCTTTTGGCGAATTTTCCACAATTTTTGACAATGTTGCAGCAATAAAATTTTGGTTGTTGGGACTGTAAACTGTAACATAATATACTTACAAGTAAAATTTCTCGTCCCACACGGGATTCAGTTCTTGAGGCATAGTTCTTGTGCGTTTCTTCACTTTACCCACTTGAACAGTCACATAAGGATCAGAAGTCCCACTCTTGTCCTTGGCTATTAAACCTTGCGCTGATTTTACTAAAAATTCACCAAATCTCTATTAGTACAATGCAATCGTTCAAAAACCTAAAAAATATTAAATAAATCCCTTTAAAACAGATAATACGAAAATCTTATATTTTAAAATTTATTTGTATCTGTTTTAAATGGATGTAGTGTACACCTTTTATTTAAATAAGATATAGAGATACAAAATCATGCCCAACGAAAACACAACATGCCACAGTTTTTACCTCATCGTACAGAAGAAGAAAATTAAGAGACATAGATGGAGACATAAAAGACACTGAAAGCATAAAAACAGTTTATTTACAGTATAGTGTAGAAAGATTGAATATATTTCTTGTGGTGAGGGTAACAGTATTTGTGAGAGTTGTGTGCAAACTAGTTTTGAGTCAAGCTGGTGTTTAAAGCAGTTTGTAATTCTTCGAACGTTTTCTTTAACCAGAATTAATAAAAAAGTACAATTATTAGCAAAAAGGCATTGTAAAACTTGTAACGAACAAAACCTTTTCAAAAATTAAAATGTTCATAATTTTTGCCAAGTACTTAAAATTATAATAAAGTTTTGGATACTGACTCTTTTTTTTAAGCAAATTTAAATGTAGATTGAAGGTTAATTTTCAAAAAATGTTATTTATGCAACTGGTTGTACTTAATACAACTAGTTGAATGGAAATGTTATACAAAGTATATATTTCCCCACGTGTTGCATACAAGATTTTTTTCTAATTTTGACCAACGATACTATTAAGTATTTTATTGGACTAAGAATGTAATCTAAAAAGCCTTTTGATACTTTTTATTAGTGAAAATCAATTTGCATGTCTCTATATTATCAAAGGACTGAAAAAATCACAAGTGAAACAATAAAAAAGTTATAAGACACTGTTAATAATGATTTCAATTCTACTTTAAACTTTGAAGTATAACTAGTGGAAAAAGTTAAAAGTTCGGTAACTTTTTCTACTAATTAAAGCTTTATTCAGAACCTCGCAATTAGTCAAATAAATTAGTGGTTTCAACTAGGGCAGAAGATTCTTCCTTTAATTTCAATGTAAGCGTTCAGAACGTTAAAATTAGTGGTAGACATTTTCAATTAGTAGAAAAGTTATCAAACTTTTAACTTTTCCACTAATTGTACTTCAAAATTTGCGAGAAATGTCATTTTGGCCTTTAATTATGTTCCGTCAAGAGAAATTAAAAGTTGATTGTTTTATAAGCTAAATATTAGGGTTTCTCTATGGATACAACTGACTACCGTAAGCTGTGGCTAGGATATTCTATTAATTTGAATTGTGTTTTTTAAGACATTGTAAATGATCGTAAACTAAAAAGTATAAAGTGTCATTGAAACCATTAATTGATTCCACTAATTGCGAGGTTCTGAATAAAGCTTTACTACCACTAATTTTGACGTTTTGAATGCTTACATTGAAATTAGAGGAACAAACTTCTACGTTAATTGAAACCACTAATTTACTCCACGAATTTTGTGGTTCTGAATGAAAGTTAAGTTTCACTTAAATGACAAAATTAGAAAAAAAAATAATGGTACTATTCTGTTACAAGTCTAGATGCTGTTTTATACAATATTTAAATTAAAACAAACAAAAATAATTAGATTTCTTCAATAAAATAAAAAATTATGATACAATATAGTGCTAATAAAATACACTTATATTCACAGAATCTATTTTTTTTCAGTCTAACATTCTTTTATATACATTTATCTCTATATCGACACAACAGAAAAACCATTCATTATAAAAACCTTTTAGAGATACCCTTCAAAAGGATTATGTGTTTTAGTTAACACGAGATCCTTAAATATCTCGTATATGGCTGAAAACATACAAAGATATTTAATACTGTTGTGTAATGGATCTTTAAGATGTTTGTCTTTCTATGTTTTTTTTTATTTTTGTTAAACTCGATCAGGACAGTAAATGGTCGTTGGATGAAGGATTTCATACCAAAAAAAACCTAGAAAATAGTTTATTCAAAAATATATCCCTTTAATTACTAAAATATAGCCCTAGTGACTGGCCAGGCGAGCTATAGCTACATTCTATTGGGAATTTTAAAAAAAGTGTAAAAATATCGTACATACAGGGTGTCCCAGGCTGAGCGTGCATTAGAAGTTTCTAGAGAATTACAATATCTAGATCGGAGATTTTTTGCACATCACTGTTTCACAACGAGATCTATCGATTAAACATATTTTCAATATGGCGGCACTTGACTGTCAACTTCCGGTATTTCCGGAAGCGCCGCCATATTGAAAATATTTTTAATCGATAGATCTCGTTACGAAACAGTAATGTTCAAAAAATCTCCGATCTAGATATTGTAGTTATCTAGAAACTTCTAATGTGCGCTCAGCCAGGGACACCCTGTATATGTGGGTTAATCGTTTGTAACTGTATAATTTTTCAAGTCCTAGAAGTAGCAGTGAATAGGCTCAATACGAGAAAATGATAGAACATGCTGTTTAAGATTGACTCAATTAATGTTGAAGATAAAAACGAAAATAGAAAATAAAGCAGAAAAAATAAACGTGATCAAAATTAGCCATTTTTTTAGTTAAATACAGTTTTTTTACACAACACATTTATATATTTTTTTTAGGATAAAATGCAGATATAAATATCTGAATATTTTTACGTTAAAGATAGTATTACTTTTTAGTTTCGTTTGGACAACCTAACCACTACTGTTACTGACAAAAGATTATAAAAGTTTTCTCGAAACCTTTTTACAGTTTTTCGTTTTGTGTGGATAACCTAATGACTCGCACAGCGGGTATTTACTTGTTTTGAAAAGAACCATTTCACTCTTCAGACATTTTAGGAAGTCATTAGAGCATAGAGAAAAGATAAAAAAAAATACTAAGAACTGGCGATTTTTATTTGTTAATACTGTGCACGATGAATTGCAATGCTCCGTTATATTCTTTCTTCTTATTTGTGACAGATAGAAAAATGCACAAAGGACCTTATTTGACTCTGAGACTTTAAAAAGAATGCGGCCCAATAGACGGCTTAAATTAAACTCTTTTTTTTTCTTATTTATTTTACCCTATTGTATGGAAACTTTGTGGTAGTTTTTCTAATTTAAACCGAGTAGATTGCGAAAATATTTCTTATTTAAACTCCACTAGAATTATTCAAGGGAGCACCAACTGTTTCGTTTTAAGCAAAATAATAAAACGAGTTTGTTTTAACTTAGTTCCCCAACTTTTCAATTTAATTAAAATGTTTTTAAACAAATATAAAGTTCAGTAAAATAAGAAGAGTATATTGTTTTATTAGGAGCAAAAATAACACTTCTTGCAGCGAGGATGTATGTTTGACCACACATTGTATGGCGAGCTACAAAAAGTAATTTTTACTCCGAATAGAACATGCTTTTTTTGAAACGCCACAAACAATTTCAAACGTTCCAAATAGTATAAAAAGTTTTAAAAGTAATACCTTGTGTGTTATTATATATCGAGAAACTATGGTTACGCTCGTTGAATTTGACACTTTTGTGCTTAGGCGTAAAAGTGCTTTACTTTTATGCCTAGGCGTTAAAATTACTTTTTTATATTGCCAATCACGTCGCAAAAAATTATACTTTTGTGACGTTTGAAAAAAAAAATATTATTGTCTATTATAAAACTGCAGTTGTTTAGATAAATCTAAATATCTGGCGTTAAGAGAATATCTTTAGCACATTTTATAGAGATATTTATTTGGGTAAAATATAGGGACATAAAATATTTAGGGCTCTTATTTTAATAGACATTGCAGTCGTTTTACGTACAACAACGAGAGTTATAGTAGTTTAATGTCTGTAGCTATAACTCTAAAATACTGGTCATAAAATTGCGTGTCCTTAACATTATGCGAAATTTTCAATGCGGTCATGATTTTAATGAATGCTTGATTAAAATGAACTAATAAAAAATCTCTTTTAAACTGCATATCAACCAATTATAAAATTACCAAATAATTTTTTTATAACAAAAGTGTTTTAGTCTATTACGTTTTTTATGGAACAAAATTTACTTAGAAAATTAAACTAGATAAATAGAAACAACAGAGCTAGTTGTTAAAAAAATTTGCCCTAAGAGCAGATTCTGTTCTCTGAAAGAGTATTAATAGTAAGAATATCTAGTAAAGTGGGGAAAATATAACAAAACTAGTTTTACTAAACAATTTTTACCTAAAGGTTTTTTTTCTAAAATCTGGGGAGACCAATGTGACGATTAATGCTGAGATATTATTTGCAGTGATTTTTTAAGTGCATACATATTTTTATCCACATATAACAATGTAGTTAACAAAATAAATACAATAAAAGTTAAACTTTTATATAAACAAATATAATATTGGGGAACTGTACTTAAAACAAACAAATATAAAACGCGAATGGCATCCACAAAAATTATGCAAACATTTTACTAGAACCTCTGAAACACCCTTCACCCCTATAACTTCCTTATTTTTTTAGATAAAAAAACGAGAACTTCCTGTTTCACCGGAAATAACTACAACGTTTGATTTTTAAATGACACCCTCGGTATTTTTTTACTTTCTTCGACAGTAAATGACACTTTGAATAGAATGACATATCATATGTCAACTTGTGACATTTTCGCATATGGTTTATTTGAAATTGTAACACGCGGTTCATAATGACAATTTGACTCGAAATACCTAGTGTGTGGTACCAAGTTATTCAAAAGAAAATGCTTTATCAAAATATGCTAATGAGCCGCCCTCGTTCCAGGACAAGACAAAAAAAATATTACGCGATGAAATATAGTTTTCCTAAGCTAGATTAAAAATTTGTGTTTTTAACACAGCCATTTTTAACACAACTCTAATTTGATTCAAAGCGTCATTTTCTATAGAATAAAGTAAAAAAAATACCGAGGGTTTTATTTAAAAGTTGTTGTCATTTCCGATAAAACAGGAAGTGACCAAAACCAATTGATTACGTGAATCAATATACTAACACACAAAATC